TGCAAAATTTCAAAACTTGCATGGTTATTGAATGGAAATGCTCAGACAGACGAATATACACAAACACACACACACACAACAAACATACACATGCACATGCACACAGACATACACATACATACATGCATACAGGCATACATATATAACATACACACATACACACACGCAAGATCGTTGCAGTATGCGTTTTTGCTCTCTGTCGCAACGCTCTGGCACTGCAAGGCAAAAACGCGTGCAAATGGGACACACAAATTAGCTCTCAGTAAAACTTGATTTTAAGCTCAGTTTAGGTTATTTTAAAGTTTAGAGTGAAATGAACTGCACAACGGAAATTTTCGAGTTTTATTTCGTGGGAGAATGCAGAATGAGTAGCGTGAAGTCAGTTTAAAATTGTACTCTAAACTACCGTGACTTCTGACGCAAACTCTGTTTGATGCCGCATCTCGTGATGAAAAAACTGAATACTGGATTTCAGTTAATGGATTTCAATTATCGTTCAGTATCCCAAGATCAACCTCCAAATACCACTGCAACTTGATCTTTGGCCTTGGTCCTTAGCCCTTGGTCTTCGCTGGTTTTCATTCTTCTATTCATTTTATGAAAATTAAGTCCAATTTCTGGTAAACTTCGTAAATTTAGAATGGGCCGAACCATGGACACAAGGTCCAGCATTTTTTTGCACAGGACTACTTTCATCGCCACCTTCTTGTTCCGGCTTCTTGTGTTTTTTTATGCCCTGAACTTCAAGAGCAGACCAAAATCATCTGACCAAAGCAGACCAAACACAAGAGCTAAAAATTTAGTCAGGAGCTGCAAAAGTTCCTCAGAATGGCGTTAAAATGGGTCAAAACAGACGCGGAAGCCAACCAAAAGAAGGCGAAATTTCCCCTGAGGGCTGCAAAAATTGGCTAGAAAGATATTTCATTTAATTTAGAAATGCTGGCTTGCGCTAAAAAACACGCTCGAAAATATTAAACTGGTATTAAACGTAGAAAGGGGGCTTCTTTTGTGTTGGGAAAGCTATGTGAAGTACAGCAATGAAATTTGGGGTTCATTTGTCTCTTTGGAAGCTGAAGTGAGAACTCTCGCAAGTAGTACACTAGGGATGTTCCTTAGCAGTAATACACTGAGAATGTCGAGAATTCAAATTCACAACTGCAGAAACTGACGATGGTTTCTAGTTGAAAGCAGTGCTGGATTTGTATCACGCGTTGGCATGTTTACTACCGGATGATTCGAATCGCCTTTATGCCGCCGTCTTACATTTGCCCAAAAATCCTAAAGTCTATTTTGGCAAACTTCAGAATATTCAGAAACTTCATCGAAGTTTTGAGGAGTCTGGTGACGCTAGCAGCGGTTAGTTAAATATGCTCCATCTTACTCCAAATTTTTCATTACTAACGCAGTCCACTCGGTCATTGCGAGAGCTCGTCGAAGCAATATCTTAGGCGCCATTACGATCTTTATGACAAATCAAAACCCATAAAATATTTCATTTTTTTTTTTTAAATGATGAGGCTTTTTTACACAGTTGAAGTGATAGTATTTGCCAAGAGCAGCTCTAGCCAGTAAGGTTATTGCTGGCTTTCTTTTCCGGTCGCTGTCTAAAAACAAACTGATGAGGATGTTGACGACCTGACATGCACTGGTACCAGTTCATGATCGCCAGCCCTGATTAATGTAACAATCAGGAGGAGGAGGCTAGGCCGCTATGGGAAAGCGCCAGAACAAAACACCTCTTTATTAGTATAATAGCAAAACAAATCAAAAAAAACACAAACCCCGAAATTACCCGGCAGTAACTCCTAACTGCTACTGGCGAAAAGGCGACAATCAAAGCGGCAGCAGCTCCAAGCTGCCGCCGCACACTTCTGACTCCAAAAAACAATCAGTTCATTTCTAATCAGCACATTAAATACCACGGAGGGGGAACTCGTGTCAAGAGACGGGACATTTTCATACCACAGAAAGCCGAAGGGCAACTGGACAAGACGAGGAGGGTTTAGCCACCATCTTCGTTTCCTTGCTACTCTTTCCTTCTTCCTTTCGCAATAACGAATTGCTTTTTTTTACTGGTGAAATTGGAACCCCAATACATTACTTTGCCAAATTTTGTCGTAGCTAGCATCACTAGGAAGCAAGATGCAGTGATGAGCGCCTCTGCTTTCTTGTAGGAGGTCAAGGATTCAACTGCGTCAGTGAAACAATCAGTCCGTCTATGATTTGTTCATTTGCTTGTTTATGTAGTAAATTGGCAAAGTTATATGTCAGGAATTCAAACCTGCCATCTGCTTGTTTCTAAGCAGTTATCAAAATGGGGAGCCTTCGGCGTTCTTGTCAGTGGGTAGTAACTCTTGGCAATTGCTAGCCTCGAAATATTTCGAGTGTCTTAGCCTGTCGTGGAGAGTGAATACAGAAGGGTTTCGACTTTTGAATCGGCCACTGCTAAAAGCTCTGTTTTTGGCACGGATAGTCTAAACGTTTTTAGATCTAAGTGCGATGCACGGGAGTTCTTGTTACCTGGTTCGAAATACTATTGATCTGCTGAAGGACTGGCTGACAAAAGCATTTTTCTTCGAAAAGGTCATCAAGCGTATTCTACTGGTCAGTCACCGTGGCGACGAATGCAATATGCTGTTTCACTTTCGTGAGCTTTACTATAAAGGCAAGTTAATCGTATTCGATACAAATTTGCTGAGGATCGTGGTCAATATCTCCATATTTACAAGGTGGCGGACGGTCAGTGAATCTAAAATGGTTGCTAGCAGACCCAGTTACATTTCATGTCCCACTTTGTACAAAGTTTGTACAAAGTCACTGGCAAATGGCTAAATTATACACGCTTTTCTGGCGACATAGTTATTGTGTGCAACCCTCGCGTGGTAAATGAGATATTACAGAAGTTTAAAGAATGAAGTAGGGAAGACGGTCTAAAGATTAACGCACTGGAAATGAAGGTGACGGGAAATGCGATTATGCCAAAGTGCACGTAGCAGATAGATATTGTAAACTTGGAAGAAGTTAATACTTATGCCTATTTTAGCCAAAAAATATGCGTCATAATCTTTAGCTGGATGCTGTTCATAGAAAGGGTGGTGCGCCTTTGGCACAAATTTTACAGAATTGTCGATGCCGCCGAAACATCTAATCGGAAGGACGCTGCACATCTCTTCAAACCAATATTTTTAAAGTGAAGAATTACGGATGCAAAATGTCGTCAGTGTCGAAAGTAGAGCAGCAAACACTGGCGGTAATAGAGAGAGCAACGGAGGCATGCTTGGTGTGTCTGCCCCTAACCATCTAAAACCTAGCTGCGACGCACCAGGCTTACTAGTGCGGTCATGCGTTTTTTGCAGCAAGCTTGAAGCAGTCAGGTTATGAACTGCATGAATAATTTTTGCTTTACATTTGACTTGTGCACGCATTACAGTAAAATGAATAATTTCCTGTGACTGCCCGTTCATTGAAAATGACCTACCTGTTCTGGTTTCGGAGTTAACAATTTTCCTTCCAAAAATTTCACTTCTCCGTGCATAAGAACCAAGTGTACTTAGGAAACTGAATATGAAATGTTTAGACCGCACGTAGACATGGAAAGTTTACCCGAAATTTTAGATTTCTAGTTTAACTGATTCCCAAGTTAGCAACTTTCCAACCAAAGCTTTCATTTGTCCACATGTGAGGCCCAGGGGTATCTGAAAGTTGGCACTTCATTCCTGGGATAGCGCTTGGCCAGGGAACTCACTGGGAAAATCCACATCAAAGCTTGACTGATTGTCGAGATGAAATCCAGGACGGAAAGACAGACAGACAGACAGACACACATACCACAGGTTGTCACAATATGCATTTTTGCATTTACGTAAATATGTAAAAACGCATAATAATCGAGTTGTTAGACGAGCGCCGTGCGGAATATCACTGAAATCACGAAAAAGTATAATCCGTTAGGCAAACCTTGTTGCTGATCTTAGTGACAACCGATGAACGCCGCGCGTAAGAGCACGGTATTCGCGAAAAAGCAAAAGACCACTTAAGCTGTCTTCGAAAAGTTGGCTTGTATACATCAAACAGGTGATGGATATTAACATAAGTAAGCAGCCAAGAAACGAAGGGTCTGGCATAGCTGCCCTGGGAGTAATAGAGTATCCCAGCGACATCACCAACCCACACTGATTGCAGTCTTGGTATTTTTGGTATTTGCTTTATGACTTTTGTGTTGCCGTCTGAAATATTTTACTTTATTCATTTGTCAGATAGTCTGTCGTTTTGACATGGGCACATGGTCAGTCTAGTGGCGATTCCCACAATTTCAGGTGGCAGACCACATCGTTGGTTTGTTGATAGGATCATTCTGAACGCGAATACAGGTGGACGACTTCAATATAGATTAGAAAGGAGTGATTACGATGGCGACAAACTGAAGGGTACTATGGACCGCAGCGTTATCGAAGGGATTAGCTTGTTCCTGCCCACATCGCTTGCCTCGCAACAGCACGGCAACTTTTTCCGCTTATTTTATTGAATTTTACTTGATGAAATTCTGGAAGCAGTTCGTACAAGTGCCAAAGTTATAGTGTCATTATGTCTTCACTATGAACGCCAAATACGTGTTGCTGTGGGCCAATTAGTTCACTGCTGCATGGCTTACCAAGGAGGTCGAAGACCATATTTGCTTTAGTAAATTTTTCTGGGCGATGTGTTTTTTTGGTTCTTTAGTTTGGTGACTGGAATCACCAATAGCGAACTAGCGTGTTCTTGAAATTTTATCAAATTTTCGAGGAACGCATGAGATTTAACACGATCTGCGCCACTTCATCTCTTCTCCAGGCTGATTCTAAATGCTTAAACAGCTATTACTAAATAAAAAGCAGATTCAGTCAACAATTCGAAGGTAAATGTGCTGAGGCGCAGGAAAGGATTGCATGTGAAAAACAAAACTTGCAGAAGCATTCAATGCGACAATATTCATGAAATCACTGGCGGAATTGTTAAACGGAATGCTTCTTGAATCGGTAATTGCCGATGCTGTATTCAGCATGAATTCGGGGCGTAAGTGGATCAAATATGATTTAAGCGACTTCAAACGGCAGCCCCAATCAGCAAACACATTTGACAGGTAATCTCAATTCTGCAAATCGCTTTCAGTTAATTTTAGTGATGTGCGACGTTCTCGCATCATTACAGATGAAAAAAGTCAATCCCGGGCGCACACGGCTTTTCTCACAGTCAGTAAGAAGGCGCCCAATTGAATCCTTATCAGTTTAGATGCCATACGAATGCAGGAGCCCAAAATTAGACCTAGTTGTGCTTGTTGTTTGCTTCCGCGCAGTAACCAAATGAAAATTGTAATATTGACACTGCCAAGTAGGTGGCAACTATGTTTTTCATTTCGATAATGCTGCCTGAGTCTTTGACAAGGATTCAGACAACTGGACAGAATGTTTCACGTTGCGTGTGGTCCTGCATTTTCCGCGATAGAGGTTGTCAAACTTTATAATCAGATTTTAAAACCCCAAGTGAAATATGAAAATCTTAAATTGTTCTTGAGGACGCGTCATAATCAGGACTTATTTTTAGCTGGGCCTGGCTCCTGAGCCTCTTACGTGTAATGTTTTTTATTGTTGGCACATTCATCCTTCTAATAACGACATGCGCGCTTTGCGGCTTCGCCTGCATGCTATCGTCTGTTGTGCGCGATGACTATTACAATCGACGACAAATTCGACAGCGCGATGAGGAGAGGCACAATTTTGAAGAGCAATTTGGAGATGCAGGAATTGTAGGCGATTGTTTCGCAACCGAAAATGAGCAGTTTCTAAACTGAAGCCCTGTGTTGTAAACAGGAGTTGCAAAATAGACCAAGCAGTAGCGGATGCTAGAAAGCGGCATTGCGTTTATATGCTTTTTGTGCTGTGTAACAGCTGTACAGAACACATATTGTCACGAGGTTGTCTGTGTGTGTTTGTGTGTTTGTGTATCCGCGGCAACTTGTCCGCAACTTTCAGCTCGGGAACCACAAAAGCTAGGATGCTAAAAATTTAGGTAGACGTCCCCCGTACCCGCGTATGACCTCGCAAATTTAAATTCAGCCTCCCCGTACCTGCAGGTAACACGTACGGTCCCATAAAAGTTGGGGCGGGTAAAATTATTATCACGGGAACTACGGAAGCTAGAAAGCTAAAATTTTGTGGGCATGTCCCCCACCCATGTGCTACCCAGAAAATTTAAATTCAGCTTTCCCCTGCC